AGGGTATAGAGACTTATCCATACTTATCCGTCCGCATATGGGTACAGCTGCATATCTAAGGGTTTATCCGCTTAAATAAGCGACACATGATCTTGTTCTGGACACATCAGGCTGGACTCTGATGCCGGACCTTTTCTAGATAGAAACCAGACTCTGTCTGGACCATGACATCATTCTGACATCATAGATAGGAGCTAGGCTCAGGCACTAGGCCATAGGCCGGTCAATTCTGGACCCTAGGCCCAGGTCAGGGCAGGGCCAGACTATGACATCATATATGACATCATAGAGCACATGATACTTAGTAATCCTTACCCAGCTAGGTACCAGGGGTCCATTACCGGTCCCTGGGGGGTTTTCCCTCATGTATATAAGGCAGCATCCTGGGGCACCCTTTGCCCCAGTTCTATTCACTTCATTGTTGCGCTTAACAGCATTATCTCCCCCATACTTAAGTGCTTTATCTCCCCCCCTAACTATCAAGCTATAAGGTGGGTTTGTAGGTTTTGTGATAGTTGAATGGAACTGCTTTAAGGTGCACTGGGCCCTGGCAAGGGTCCCTTGCTACCTGCTTTGTTACAGGGCCTATTGGTCGTTGCTATGCCCCTATGCTGCAAAGTGTAAGGTGGCCTTTTCATGTGGGTTCTGGGGGTTATGGTTTGTCAACTGAAAAGTGGCAATACCTTTTTGCGAAGCACCTACCTTTATTGGTTAGGGTTGAACAATTAGTGTCAACATGCTGAGCTTTTCGCCAGTCCCTAGGCGTAAGGGGAGGTTGCTGCCTTATGGGCAACATGCTGGAATGTGGTTTACCATTCTATGAGGCCTTAGGGCTTACGACGGATAACCAGCATGGGCAGCCTTAGGGAGAGTGTAAGATTCTCCCAAAACCACTTGCAGCGGGCGTGGAAACCCGACTGAGATCTGTATTCCCCCCTCCCTACCTGCTGAGAGAGAGCAGGAGGACGCCGACACGAAGCACGACCAATGGACCCTGTAGTATAGCACATACCCTTTTCTTCGCTCTGAAAAGAGCCAGCTGAAAAGCTGTTATCTAATCCCCTCTGCCGTAGCCATGCCGAAAGCCAAACCTTTCATTGTCACTGCCAAGCACGAGCCGACAGGCCTGCTTGAGCGCATCGCCATCCACAACACGCACAAGTTCGACAACGTTGGCAAACCTCGCCAAATTGTACGCCCCACCATCAAGCCACTCATTCGCCGCCCCTTCAACCCTGAACGCGCTGAAAAAGCGAAACACGACATCGAGGAGCTTGCACTTCGCGCGCATCTCTTCAAGAAGCAACAGTTGCTCGATCGTATCTCCGACCGTGCTCCCCCCCTCATTGATCGCATCAATATGCAGGCGGGACCCTCCTACAAATACAAACCACCCAAGCCGCTCCCCAACATTCACTTCCAGCGCACGAAGATTCTGTTGCGCACATCCGAGTACAATGAGATGTTTGCCGCTACAGCCGACAGGCTGGAGCCGGTGTTCGCTTGAATGGAAAAGGAAGAAGGGAGCTTGGAGCCGGAAGTTGTGGCGAAAGTTAGGAGGATGGGCGATGGGTTCGACGAGTTGTATCATGGGCTGGAGAAGAAGGCACGCCGGCTTACCAACAGGCACTGGAGAGTTATCAAGCGCGACCTGAAAAGGATCGGGCATGTCTCCTTTGAGGACTTAAGCAGTCGCCTGCCGGAGATTTGTAATGAGTTGGCTAGCCTAAACATCACCTTCAAGTACGAAGTGTAGATAGTGGAATAAAGATTGGCAATCTTTTCTGGCATAATTGGCTTATATGGCATGAGGAGGAGATCTCCTTCACTTCACTTTTTTCTTTCAATCATAAGTGAATACGGGCTAATCACTACAATAAGAAATGGCCTCATACATCCCCTTCGTTCTGACCGAAGCATTCGCTATCGCCACGGAAGAAGAGTGGCGCAATGCAATCTTCCAGAACGTGAACGTCTCTGACGAACAAGCAGCTCTGCTGCAAACGGTGATACGACCTACGAAACCCTAACCCCTAACCTGGGTGCGACCTAAAGGGACTAGAGAGACGGCTTATAGTCTTAGTGAGAGGGGAGTTAGCAGCAAGGTGTCCCACGGTTCGAGTGAACACGAGAAACGCCTTCGGAAAAGGCTACGAACGATGGGGAAGGTACAAGGTGGCTTCGACACGTCGTCAAAGCTACTCGGAAGCTGTGGATAGTTAGCGGAGACGATCGAAGCTCGGCAGAGCTCTTCGATGTATCGTAGAGAGAGAAGAGACACTATTCGATAGGGGGGGACTTAGCTTAGTACGCGGTTCGAGGTGCAACGCAGTTCTTCGACAATAGTCGAAGTCGAAAGGTTCGTCGAGACGGTATCGACGAGTGAACGCAGTGGACGAGGTTTCGAGGTTACGCAGTGAGGAACGAAGTGACGCAGTTGAGGACGTAGACGCAGGGCGAACTCGACTTATGAGCTCTGAACTCGAGGGGGGGGACGGATCCTGTATTTTTAGAGAGAAGTACGACAGATTTTATACTACACAGGATGCTACGACTATTCGAGAGTGGCATACGGGTACAAGGGGCTTTGCATTGTTCCTCAAGAAGCTGCCTCACTGAGGGGCACATACCAAGTCCATCGGTAGAGTGACGTCATGCCGAACGCGGAGATGAAGGGCAACATATGGCCACTTCGGACCGGTAGCCGTCGTGAAGGCATGCCGCGAGGTTCGATACCCAATTGGGAAAGACCGGCTACTTTGGTGTGGCTTGGAGCGAAGCGCGCGCTTGGCCGAGCGGCGTCAAGTGGCCCTATTGTTCGCCGAATGCGGAAGATGTTCTGAGGTCTACGCACGAGGCATCAGGAAGACCGTGCCGAGCTTCGAGTAAGCGTCGCGCACCATCGAAGGTGTCGAAGAGCGTCGAAGGCGAAATCGACCTGTTGGGAGACTGGGTCGAAGTGCCGGGCGGGATGCGAGTGCCGAAAAGAGGTGTATCGGGGCCCAGCGGGGCTCGGCGCCTATCATCTCCTCCCTATTGAAATTTGGACCGCCCTCGGTCCTCCACGTGATGCGAGAAGCGCGATGGTCGTGAACGGATCGAAGCGGCTTGACAACCCGCGGCGGTTTCAAACGCCACGTGGCCGGCGCTAAATGCTGGTCGGAAAGGGGGTTATAAGCAGGGTAGACTTAGCCTCATTTTCCCCATTCCATCGTTCCTTCGTCGCTCTCTCGTCGCCCTCTCTCGCATACTCACTCTGCTTCTACGATGTCTGCTCGCTCCGCCACCCCTGCGTCGACTCCCTCGCTCGTCAACCGCCGCCTCGCTTCTCTGCTTGTGGTCCTCGAGGCTCCGCCGACCGCTGACGCCACGCTCGATGTGGTCGAAGAGTGGGCTCAAGACTTGTCGCCTCTCGTCGTAAGTTGCTTGTAATCTGCATAACCCGACTAACCGTTTGTTTTCGAGCAGCTCGCCTATCGCAAGGCTCTGGGCACCATCCGCGACGAGGAGACGGAGTTGCGCGTCGCCGCCGCCGTCAAACAGCTCGCCGAGCGGGCGTCGGAGTCGTGGGTCAAGTGGGCGCGCGGGGACTGGCCTGAGCTCACGACCGCCATCGATGCCGAGGTCGAACGACGCCTCGAAGAACAGAAGCGCCTCGCTGAGGAGGAAGCACGACGCGTCGAAGAGGCCGCGAAGCGTGCGAAGGCCGCCGAGGAACGCCGCCTCGAAGATGAACGGCGTCGAAAGGACGAAGAGGACCGTCGGAAGCAGGCTGAAGACGAGCGTCGCGCACAAGAGGCCACCGACGAAGAGTTGGCGAGGATTGCGGCCGCCGAAGGACTCCTTCCCGACCCTGCGCCTGCCGGTGTTGACAAGGGGAAAGGGCGCGCAAGGGTCGATGACGAGGTCACCGAGTTGTCGGACGACCCCTCGGTCGTAAGTGCTTTCTTCTATCATCGTTCGATGACTAATCTCTCTTTCATAGAAGACTCCTCGGACGGTCGAACGTCCGCTCGCGATGACCGAGGTCGACATGGCCGCCGCGGCGATTGAGAAGCGCCAGTCGATGACTAATCTCTCTTTCATAGAAGACTCCTCGGACGGTCGAACGTCCGCTCGCGATGACCGAGGTCGACATGGCCGCCGCGGCGATTGAGAAGCGCCAGTCGGGACAGAAGGTAAGCTCGACTCTTCGTCGAAGCGGTTCGAAGCTAACTCTTCGATAGTGCGACCGTTGCGCCGGCTACCGCTCGGCCCCGGTCGATTGCGTGTGGGTTGACAACGCTACGACCTGCGAGAGGTGCGCGCAATTCCAGCAGGGATGCTATTTCGACAAGGTGTCTGTGCTTGGGAAGACCAAGAAAACGCGCGGCGGGGGATCTACCACCAAGAAGCGCAGTAAGTCGTTTATTTTTGTCCTAGGCCTTCGCTGACGACTCCGTAGTTCGGCCGGCCTCTCCTGGGCCTTCGGTCGCGGACGCGAGTGGTTCGAAGAAGTGCCGAGTCGACGAGCCTCCGCGCCCCCTTCTACGACGGCCTCTCGATGGGGCCAGCCGCCTGGGCCTTGAACAGGACGATCTCGACGCACTCGACCTCGACGATGAGTCTCGGGGCATCATTCGCGTCATCCGCGAGGAGCACGCTCACATCGCTCGCCGTCGAGCGCTCCTCCACGACATGGACCTCGACCTTCAAAAGATGGAGAAGGACGCGCTCGCGAAGGGGGGAATCGGGTTCGTGCGCGGGGCTGTTGACGAGGACTAGGCGCGAGTCGTTTTGTATCGTAGTCGTACTCGTGTCGTAGAATTTTTGCGTAGATGGTCGAATGGAAAATGTGGCCCTTGGCCTAGACGGACCTAGCGGGAACTAAGAGAAAAGGAAATGAAAATAAGTGTGTTCGAAGCAAGTCATAATATGATCGAAGGACATAGAAGGTGAAATAGAAATGTTCGTAGTGAGGGAAAATGGATGTCGCGACTTAGGGTCGAGCGACAGGGGAAAACCAAACGCTGGGGGCGTTCGACTTATCTTACCGAAGCGATGGTGAGCTAGGCTCAAACCTAAGGCTAGGGACAAGATAATGTATTAGTTAGTGTAAGGTAAATGAGAGAATACAGGAGCTTACTGACCTAGGGACAAGAGGTCGAAACTGAGGTCCCTAGGGCAGCAGAGGCCGGCTTATATACATGGGGAGATTAGGGCAGGCTGTGCACGTTGGTCCGTGCGCAGCTGGTCTGTGCGCAGCATGCCGGCGCGGCCATGGGGGCCGGTGAGTCAGAGCGGCTGTGTCAGCGGGGCCCGAGCTGTGCCGTGCGCTGCCGCCCCATCTAATCTAATCGTACAGTAGATAGCGACGCGTCCATATCAGGCAAGTAGTACAGAGGTCGCGGGTTCGAGCCCGCGAAAAGGAAAAAATTAAAAAACGGCTAGACGCCGTACCAAGTCGTGACATTACCCCCCCCCTCAACGGCGCATGACCTCATGCGAGGCGCCCTTGCCCATCTCCCACCCGGAGCGGCAGCGTGCTTCAGTCAGCGGCGAAGGCATTGGCTGGAAGTTGAGACCACCAAATGTAGCAGCGTTGAGTCGACGAGGGGCGTTCGGATTCTTTCGGTGGAAGTCGGCTATGAGGGCCGGCGCATTGGCAACATTGCGCGCCGGTTCCCATGACGTATGCGAGTCGTCATAACCCTTCCACTTGACGAGGTACTGCAGCTGACGCCGGAAGATCCTCGAATCCTTGATCCGCTCAACCTCGTACTCCTCGTCGCCCTCAACCTCGATCGCAGGCGGTTCCTCCGGCTCTCGGCCCGGGATATCGCTACGCGTGTACTTGCTAAGCAAGGAGACATGGAATACCGGGTGCACCGGCACCGACTTCGGCAGGATTAATTCGTAATCCAGGTCTCCGAGCTTTCGCCGCACGGCATATGGTCCAAGGCGCTTGGGACTGAGCTTCTTGCTCGGCTGTTTCAGCTTAAGGTTCCGGGCATCAAGCCAGACCTTATCCCCCGGCGCAAAGACCGGTGCCTGTTGCACGTGCTTATCGTAGTACACTTTCATACGCTCGGCCGACAGCTCGAGCGCAGAGCGCGTATCGTCGCGAATCTCCTTCAGGATCTTGAGCCGATCAGCGGCCGCAGGCATCGCGGACATCGGATTGATCCGAACCTGGATCTCAGGGTTGTACCCTTGATGCAGGAAGA